ATTTATATGTAGGTTTGAACTGAGTGTATGTACGTAATTTATTGTTTTGGGTTGTCTGGACTGTTGGTAGCCAAACTTTTTCAACATAGATTTCTTTTAATTTTGACTTAAGCAGAGTATTGTCATCAGCATCACCAGTTTTAGTTATCTCCTGTAATTTATTTACAAATGTTGCCCATGTATTACCTTTGATTTTGGTTTCTGAGATGTAAGCACAATGTACTAAGTGACTGCAATTGCTGGTGTTGTTTTCAATTCTTTTCTTATCTATCAGGTGGAACAGGTCTAACTAGTGGGACATATCTAACAGGTGGGACAGATCTAACAGACGGGACAGGTGTAACAGATGGGACGGATCTAACAGGTGGAACAGGTCTAACAGATGGGACATATCTAACAGGTGGGACAGATCTAACAGATGGGACAGATCTAATAGATGGGACAGATCTAACAGGTGGAACAGATCTAACAGATGGGACAGATCTAACAGATGGGACAGGTAAAACAGATGGGACGGATCTAACAGGTGGAACAGTCTAACGGATGGGGCATATCTAACAGTTTTGTTTAGTTTTGCAATAGACATAATTTTAGTACCTGCATTTTTCTATGTGATGTTTTTAAGTTTTGTCAAGGAGTATTCTGTAAAAAAATCGCTGAAATTACATGTATATCATATGTTTGTAAAAGGAACGTTATTGCTTCGACGATGAGCTACGGGCAACTGACTTCGAAACCCCCCCGCTATGAATGAAACTTATTTATTGTTCGTACTTGATAAAGCAGTTTCTGTAAGAACGGGGTGCCATTGTAGGGCGGCTTGAACCATGGAGTTAAAAAAAAGATCTTTTTTTTTAGCTCCATGCTTGACCTAAACCGGTAAATCAGCATGTAGTAGCCGGCTTTTTGGCTTATCGTGTGAACTGGAACCAATCTGGTTAAAATAAGACCCTAGTTTTTTTTTTTTTTAAATGTTTTTAATTTTTGTTTAATTATTTATTTTTATTTTATTTTATTTTATTTTATTTTATTTTATTTTATTTTATTTTATTTTATTTTATTTTATTTTTAACTATCGCCACATGTGGGCTTTCGCGATCCCCAAAACTCTTTCAAAACTGCCAGCAAATAAAATAAAATAAAATAAAATACACTTCATGCAATACAACAGATTTTAATCAGTTTGCAACATCCACCACCAGAACTCTTGCGTTCCAAAAGGGCGAGTTCATTTGTTCAAGGTTTGGCCATAACAGCCTCGGGTGGAGGACAATATATAGCATTACAATACAGTAGACCAACCACATTTATTTTCAGTCTTATTTTATTCAAAAAATTTGAAAGAAAAAAACATAGACTAGATAGGTAGTACAAATGATTTACAAAATCGTTTATTTATATTATATGAAATCATGGTATGTTCCCTACTGATATATAGATTCGCCCAGAGCATGCGTGGCCACAAGTCGACATACCTACCACCACACACACGGCACAGTCGTCATGTCTTTACGGTTGCTGACTTTGAGTAATGGTCGAAAAATGCCTCAACTAGGATTGGGGACCTGGAAGGTAAGGGGTTACAGATCGATATTCCGAGGGTTTATTTGTCTGAGGGTTCATTGGTTTGATGGTTTATTTGTCCGAGGGTTCAAGGGTCCGAGGGTTAAATAATAAGTATTTATTGTTAATTAATTTTCTGACTAACTTCTCAAATGACGCAATACAATACGTAATTTGGTTATCATTCCACCCAGACGAACACAAAGCAAAGAAAAACCACAGTTGCTATGTTTACACAGCAGCATTCTATCAGAGCCGAACTACCACCGCTCGCACCGATTCACAGCAGACTATATGTTTACATAACTAACAGGCGTGAGTGGCGCCCTCGCCGGCCAAGGGAGGTGATCAAAATTAAACCAGCGGTTTCCTGCCGGGTTGGCTGGTTCCCGCCTCAAGTGTCATGGCATACCAAGCCACAAGAGGCCGGTAACTAGTAACGGTTCCGGCATTCCGATTGGTACACCACTTTCTCGTTGCTTGTTCCATTTCCCTTAGTTACCTGACGTCAGCGCTTACGCTCGTGGCCGTTCAGGGGTTTCCTTTTGCTTTCGAAAGTTGGGCGAATAAAAAGAATTGTTTCTTTTGTTATAAATTTGCACAGAACATATCAAATCTGTAAATCTAAGCAGGCAGTATGTATGTATAAGCATGGCTTTATTGTAGCATTACAGACACGTTTACGCAAAACGGAACTTGGAATGTTTTCAAATTACGTCACTCAGTCGCGTTCCTTCCGGCCTGAAA